AGAAGTGTGGGTCTTTAACAAGAATATGTCACAAAAACTCCTCTCAACGGAAATGATGTACTGGAGAAGATGTTCCGGGTTAACTTTGTTTGACCACATAAGAAATGAAAACATAAGAGAGAGAATGAAAGTAAAGAACACAATAATGGATACGATAGCCGAAAAACAATTAAAATGGTATGGACACCTGAGACGGATGAACGAAGAAAGGATACCACGAAAGGTTTGGAACTGGAGACCTACACAGAGAAATAAAAGGGGAAGGCCAAGAAAGAAATGGATATCCAATATTCATATAGAAATGGAAAATAGAGGTCTTCAAAAAGGAGACTGGGCCGATAAGAAATTATGGTGATTGGGATGCGAGAAGCGACAAAATTAAAGTTGCAAACACTCGCTATATATATATATATATATATATATATATATATATATTTATATATATATATATATATATATATATATATATATATATATATATATACAGATTAAAACAGAAATCTGAATTGTGTTTCGAAACTATTTTACGGATTTATTATCAGATGTCGCTATTGCGTCCATATCGAAGCCATTTTAGTGTTGCTTCTTAAAAGACAGAAAATATTGATTTTTCACGTTGAGAACGCATATAAATAACTGTTCTGATGCGACCTATTAGGTCGAAATACAACAGACACATAGACGCTGTTTGCGTGAAATCAAATATTTGCTGTCTTTTTTATTTCATATTAAAAATTTCGTTTTTTTTTATTAAAAACATAGTTTTTTTATTTTTACTAAATCAGATTAGATATTTTTATTTAAAAAGAAACAATCTTTTAACTTAACTTCATCCTTGATATTAGATTGTCGTAATATAACGTTTACTTTTCTTACAACTTCTATTTTTTAAAATATTTAATTAATTTATATATCTGGAAATATCAACTATTACGAAATGAGACAAGACAGCCCGAATGAAATCAGCTGAGTGGCGGATTTAGCAGACCATGAACTGATGGATATTACATAATTGCTTAAAGTATTATGATCTTTAAAAGCATACAATTTTTATACACGCGTGGGCAGAACAATTAGAAAAGTAATTAGATAGCTTTCACTCAAAGATATTTTATTAGTTGATAATAGTTGTGATTGACTTCCGAACTCAATTGATCTCTTCAATGTTATAATTTAAAAGAGAAAAAACACGATTGTTAAAGATTTGTATTTAAACATTTATACGAAAAAATATAACTTTTTTTTTGTAAAAACTTAAGTTTTACTTTCTTAAAAGTCTTGGAGGTAGAGCGTTCCTAGAGTATCTGCCGCCCGGGTGCGAGAGTAATTTGGGCGCCCTCTCCAAATCCAAGCATCCCAGAAAAATAAGCATTTGTAAGTCAAAAAGTTCAAATAATTTTACGTTAAACAAAAACAAAATTGTAAGAAGCAGAGTTTATTAATATAATTTATTTTTAGAACTTTTTTGTAATGTTCTATACTAAAGGAGTTCAGGGGTTCAGCTAGAAACATGAACACATTTTCTAAAGAAAGAAAAATAGGTACATGGAATGTAAGAAGCATGTACGAACCAAGAAAAATTCACAACACCATTAAAGAAATGAAGCGTCTAAATATAAGTATCTTTGGAATAAGGGAGATGAGATGGCCGGGGTCTGAAAAAGTAACTGTAGATGATCACATTGTATACTATTCAAAAGAAGACAGCTCAAAATACAAAAATGGTGTAGCAATAATTGTGTCGAAGGAAACAGATGAAGCTGTAAAAAACGTCGTCCTATTCTCAGACAGGATACTGATGATAAAAATACAATCAATGCGAACATATTACAAGTATATGCACCCACACAAGACAATGAACAAGAAGAAATTGAAAAATTCATAAAAAAATGATTTAGAAAAAGTATTAGCACCTACAAAGAAACACAATCTCAATATTATCATGGGAGATTTTAATGCAAAGATTGGTGAAGGTGAACAAGAAGATGTCATAGGGAAATATGGTCTGGGAATACGAAATGAAAGAGGAGATATGTTGGCATCTTTTTGCGTAGAAAAGCAATTAGTAATAACGAACACAATTTTTAAACTTCCAAAACGTCGTCTTTACACCTGGAAATCACCAGCAGATACACCTGAACGAGTTGTTCGTAACCAAATAGACTTCATATGTATAAATAAAAGATACAGAAATTCAGTATTAGCACTAAAAACATATCCAGGAGCAGATGTACCAACAGATCACAATATTTTAGTAGGAAAAATAAGACTGAGATTAAAAAAAGTTGCAAGGACGAATAAGCAAACAGTTACTATTGATAGAGAAACGATGGTAAATAATACTGTAAAACAAGAAATAACTAGTATATTAGAACAAAAAATGAAGTTAACATCAAGCAAAGAAGAAAGTACTGAGGAAAACTGGACGAGAATTAAAGACATCTTAATGACTGTTAAAGAAACAAAATTGAGTGCGCTAAAAGCAAGAAAAAAACAAGGGTGGATGACAGAAGAAATACTGAGACTTATGGATCAAAGAAGAGAAGTCAGAAATAAAGATAAAAACGAATACAAGAGGATCCACGCAATAAACAAGCATAAGATAAGACACGCGAAAACACAATTTCATAGTAAAGAATGTAATGAAATTGAACAATATAAAAAGAAACACGATACATTTCATCTGCACAAGAAATTAAAAGAAGTCGCTGGAAGCAAACGGAAACAAGCATCCCAAAGTTTAGAAGACAGAAACGGACACAGCATATTAGATATCAATAAAAAATTAAAAGAATGGGAAAACTACATTTCTGAATTATTTGAAGATGAGAGAGTAGAACACTATACACCGATTGCTATATCAGGTCCATCTATAACAGAAAGTGAAGTAAGACGTTCAATACAAACGGCAAAAAATGGAAAAGTACTTGGCCCCGATGAAGTAAGTACTGAAATACTAAACTTTTGGGAGAAAATGGAATTAAAGCTCTGTGTAATCTCTTTAACAGAATTTATGACACTGGGATATTACCAACTAATTGGTTAAAGTCGACATTTGTCACAATATATGTCACAAAGACATGCGGTGATTATCGGACAATAAGTCTGATGAGTCACGTTTTGAAGATCTTCATGCGAGTAATACACAGCAGAATTCACACGGTGTTAGAGGACAGAATTAGCAATACTTAATTTGGGTTTAGGAGTGGCTTGGGTACAAGAGAAGCCTTGTTTAGTATACAGGTGCTAGTACAGAGATGCAGAGATATAAATCAAAATGTGTATATTTGTGCAATCGATTTTGAAAAAGCTTTTGACAAAGTCCGAGATAACAAAATGCTAGAAATATTGGAAACAGCTGGATTGGACGATAAAGATCTACAAATAATTACAAATCTATACTGGCATCAAGTGGCAAGAATAAAGGTTGAACAAGAACTGCCGGATGAAATAAATATAAAAAGAGGAGTGAGACAACTTATATTCGGAGGAAATATTTAAGGAAGCTTTAATGGAGACAACCGAAGGTATTATTGTGAATGGAGTAACGGTCAACAATATTAGATATACCAACGGTACCTTAGTCCTTGCCAATTGCGGAGAAGACCTTCAAAATCTAATAAACAAAATAAAACAGACTTGTGATCAGTATGGATTAAAACTCAACGTTAAGAAAACTAAATATATGATAGTTAGCAAACAAAATTATATACAGGATGACGATATAAAAGTCGGAGATGCCACACTGGACAGAGTAGAGAGACTCGTGTATCTCGGCAGTAATATCAATGAGAGCTGGGATCCAACCGCAGAAATTAAAAGCCGAATAGAATAAGCCTGAGCTGCTTTTGTAAAAATGAGAAACGTACTTTGCAGTCACGATCTTAGCATTGACCTTAGAGTTCGTATGACATCTTGCTACATCTTTTCTGTCCTGCTGTATGGAGTGGAAGCGTGGACTCTATTTGAGGCTATGCTTAAACGCTTGACAGCCTTTGAGATGTGGGTATACAGACGACTACTAAAAATAAGCTGGGTCGACAGAGTTAGAAATGAGGAGGTCCTTAAACGGCTGAGCCAAACAACACAACTGGTCAATATAATAAAGAAACGCAAGCTGGAATACTTCGGTCACATTATGAGATACCCTGAAAAATATGATCTTTTACATCTGATCATTCAGGGAAAGATCCAAGGTAATCGTGGTCCTGGTAGACGAAGAACATCATGGCTGAAAAATCTAAGGCAATGGTATGGAAAATCAACTACATCGTTATTTAGAGCTGCTGTCAATAAAGTCACGATAGCGATATGGTAGCCAACATAATATCCAACGATCGATAACGGTCATGGAACTAGAAGAAGAAGAATACTAAAGGAATACAGTAAAGTCTGGTTTTATGCGATAGATACGTTCCACAGAAAAGCGAATATTAAAAAATCGCATTATTTGCTTGAAACATTAGTGTTACGTTCCGTAGCCTACATAAAACCGAGACCAAAGCAAAAAAGTTTGCAGAAATTAGAAGAAATAGGCTACATGATGTCGAATATCTGAAAGAAATTCAAACAGAAGCTTAAAAAAAACTTATATATATAATATTTTTTAGCTTGAAGCAAATAAATAAGAAATACACTCTATATTAACATATGATATCGCTATTAGCTACATAAGGCAATTTTAATTTTCACCTTATCTCGGTAAATTTTTTAGATACATATTTTTTACCCTAACCCTACCAAATGGCCACTTTGTCCTGCGGGGTGGAGCAAACCAGCCATGAGTTGGCCACTTACAATGTAAAATGCAGAATTTAAACTGAATTTGTTTACTAAATGAAAGTGTATTTTCAAAATAAAAACATTAGACATCTTAGAAAAAGAAAGTTTCACACCGAGTTTATTTACAAACGTCACAAATAAAGTCATTGTCTTTTTGTTCACACCCAGCATAAGCTTTACGTGCCGATAGTAAACAACCCGAACATTTTATTCATCCTTTATTTTCCCTTGACTTGGAATATCTTCTTGTCTCCACAGAAAAGGCAATCAGTATCACTCACGTCACTGTTCGAGTCATTAAATAAAGCACGCTTCGCTGATGTGGATTTCGTTTTCTTCTTTCCTTTAAACATTTCTTTTATTTCTTTATTCCTCTTGTTACTCTGCTTCCCTTTTTCCAGTTCCAGGTTTATTTTCTTAAACCTTTCCTTTTCTTCTTTTTCTGCTTTTGCGGCTACAAGTTCCATCTTGAAAGGGCTTGAAGTCAAATATGCAGCTGTCCCTTTTTTGGCTTATTTTCTCGTTTAATAATATTTGCTTTAGGGATTGGAACAATATCCTGTGGGCGTACAGCAAAAGTATAGCGCCCCTTGCCCTTGGAGTTGCTGATTAAATCACATGAGGTACTGAAATAAGGCAGTGAACTGTGCTGGAATATTGAAGTACTTGGCTTTGGCAAGTCTTTAGAGATTAGAACGAATGTAGAGTTTGGATCCCCAGATTTTACAGTAACATTGAAAATACCTGTGGTCATTGAAAAACATAGGAACTGTCGGAAATCTATCTCTCCAGAAGGCGAGTTCTCTTTACTTGCAAGTGGTGTTTCTTGACGTCGAGGAATATTTTGTTGCGAATCTGCCAAATATTTTCCTGGAATCACAGCAGAAGTTTCCTCTTGGTATTTAACACCTAGTTCTGGATTTTCAGGTTCTTGAATAAAGATAGAATCTTGTATGGAAATTTCAGTGGTCATGGCTGTAGCAAAATCCGCGTCAGTAAACTTCTGTCTGTTTATAGGAACTATACCACGTTTCCCAAACACCTTTACCGTAATAGTTGAAGTAGTTGCAAATGGAAGTGCCGCTTCAAGAAGTTTAGATACCTGATACTGTGTAACTAATCTACTAGGATTATTACGCAATAATCTTTCGATCGCTTGGACATAATAATGGCATCGCAAAGTTCAAGAAATGGTCAAACCATTGTGTGAAAATCTTAGTTTGCATCCACCCTAAAGGATGACAAACAAAAGCTGTTCCAGGTGGAGCCTTGTCTTGAAGTTTTACTTTAATCCACTGTCTAGGGAAGATGATAAAAGGCGGAATAAAAATTTTCCCAGCTAACATAAAAGTTTCAAATGTGCTGAGAATACCTCTCTCTGCAGATATAAGAGATCCGACTTGCCGTCGGCCATTTAAAGCAAAAATCTTTAAAGACTTTGACTGGACAATCATAAGTCCAGTTTCATCAACATTGTAAACCCTATGAGGAGGATACAAGTAATGTTTTTGAACATCCTCCAAAATGTCTAAAAACTTGGTTACATTAATTTATTAAATGCTTGCGCCCTTGTTGCTAAAGTCGCCTTAGGTTTTCTTAACACAAGCTCAGGATAGCGCTTTCTGAGCCCAGTTACTATTTCCATTCCGCTAAGAATACAATTCTTTGGTAGGTAACTTTTGGGAAAGCGTCAAATCAAGGATCGGCCAGTACCTCACTAAATCATTTTTTGAGCTTCTCAATGACCCACATTCCTATAAAAAAAATCCCCAAATATCTGACTCCATCAGTAGAAAGAAACACTACCTTACTACCTAACTAACTATACTGGTACCACACCAACATACTATGGACTTCCAAAAATTCCCAAAGAAGGGTGCCCATTACGTCCTATAATTGCATGTAAGAATGCCCCCACTCAATCCTTGGCTAAATATCTGGCAGGTATTATTGACGCTTCATTTTCTTCTCATAATACCTACAAAATTAAAGATTCTTTTCAATTTGCAAATAAGATCAATTGGTTTTTATTACCTTCAGGGTATGTCTTGGTAAGTTTTGATGTTACTTCTTTGTTTACCAACATCCCTCTCGAATTTAAATTGAATAAATTTACTGATTGTATTTTGAGAATGATTTCCGAAGTGGAAATTGAAACGTCAATAAACGTATTTTTATCTTTAATTGTGGCTTATATCCAGTTAAATAGCAATTGAGATTTTTTGTTGTGTTGTATTTGAAAAAATACCCTTTTGTCTTATAATGCTTTTAAGTTGTGATTTTTGAGGATGCAGTCAGTTTATTTGGCCCACAAGACAAAGAAAACTCTTTGACTTACTGTCAAGCTTTTGAATTATATTTAATTATTTTTCAAGACATCTATAAAAAGAAATATAAATTAACTAGTTAAAATTGTTAATTGTCTTACTTACTAGTCGTGAGATTACAGTTTTTAATATTGTACTCTATAAAACAAACCATAATAAATATAATAACATTTTTTTATTAAAAATAACTATATTGTCACTATATATGTCATTGTCATGGTTTGATTAATGGACATATATGAATGAAAATACAGTTACTTTATGTGGAAAGCAAAACCAGTAACAATAGTTTTTATTATAATTTATTTAATTGTCTATAAAAAATATAAATTAATCCAGTCAGCAGTTTGGCTTAAGCACATATGAATTTTTAATGTTAGGATGTCAATAGAAAATGAGATCTTGACGGTATTTATTGATATGTTAATATGTAACAATAAATGTTACTTAATTTGTCAATATCTGATCTTCTATTTACACATTTTTTATTTTTTTGTATATGTGTCATTTCTAAAAATAACCGTTTCTGTTCATGTTTCTGCCTCTCTAGAATTGAAGCCTGTGAAAAATTAAATGTGTGATTTAGATTGATGAAGTGTTCAGCTAATGCACAAGCTTGTGATTTCTTAGTTTTTACATCACTTTTATGAGAAATAATTCTGCTGTGTAATGTTCGAGAAGTTTCTCCTATATAAACTTTATCACAGTCTGAGCAAGGTATTTGATACACTACTCTAGAACTTTCATCAGTTGTTAAAGCATCTTTAGTTTTAGTGTATAAATGTGCTATGGTTTTAACATTTCTGGTGGCAATTTTTATGTTTTCTAATCCTTTAAATAATTTGAGAAGTTTTGGTGTTAAGAATGGAATACAAGGTAAAGATCCAAAAGTTTGTGGTGTTATTGGTATTAAGGTGTTAACTGTCAGGCAATTGTTTATTTCTTGATTTGCCATTTTTACTGTGATTTGTTTTTTATTGTTACATATTAACATATCAATAAATACCGTCAAGATCTCATTTTCCATTGACATCCTAACATTAAAAATTCATATGTGCTTAAGCCAAACTGCTGACTGGATTAATTTATATTTTTTATAGACAATTAAATAAATTATAATAAAAACTATTGTTACTGGTTTTGCTTTCCACATAAAGTAACTGTATGTTCATTCATATATGTCCATTAATCAAACCATGACAATGACATATATAGTGACAATATAGTTATTTTTAATAAAAAAATTTTATTATATTTATTATGGTTTGTTTTGTAGAGTACAATATTAAAAACTGTAATCTCACGACTAGTAAGTAAGACAATTAACAATTTTAACTAGTTAATTTATATTTTTTTTTATAGATGTCTTGAAAAAGAATTAAATATAATTCGAAAGCTTGACAGTAAGTCAAAGAGTTTTCATTGTCTTGTGGGCCAAATAAACTGACTGCATCCTCAAAAATCACAACTTACATTTAAATCAACAGTCAAGAATACCACCATCTTATATATATATATATATATATATATATATATATATATATATATATAACACGTGCAAAGCAAAAATAATAAAAAAGTGAGTCAAAAATTTATAATGCGAATTCCCCAGATCCCTTCTTCATAAAAGTTATGAACTTACTGTTAATGCAATATTGTGATCTATCCTCAAATTCTCATTTTCTAACTATTAGAATAATAATGTATTAATTCTAATAATAGAGATACAATACAATTGTTAACTATTGACTCTTTTTAATTAACAACGTATAAGCATACATTATAAATATTAAATAATACCGAAGCATGTTCATTGACTGGTCTATGGAGATATCCTAAACAAATATTTATTTGGCTTACATGAAAGCAGCAGATATCTTAAGTTGGTTTTGCATGAATGGTGGCCTAGAGAGTAAATTTTAGTCATGATTACTTTTCATATCTTTCAAATTGCTCAAGTGGGTAGCTTGCCCCATTTATGTTAACCTTTATCCATTCGTTGTCGAGATATTTGGGTTAATTGGAAATATGACGTAGAAGAATTTAGTCATTGAGAGTTGCTTATTGTTTTTGCATACGAAATTTCACAATGAATATGGTCAAAATTATTCAGTATTATTTGTCTTGGGATTTTTTTTATTTATAATCGCATCAATTCTAAGGGTTTTATTAGCAGAATTTCTAAATTTGAGATACAACTTCATTACATAGTAATATTATAATACAAATTATATATAACATTATATTTTAGTTAAATTTTATTATTCTTCTTCGAAAAGAATAATTTGTTTACTTCTACAGTGGGGTACCAATGGACAAAAGGGCTCAACAAGTACGGCTGCCCCAATGAAAAACATAGTATCTGCAGACATATACTTTTCGAGAAAAACGCAATTATCTTTTCGCCGTACTTATCTATAAACACCAGGCCATGAAAAAATGTGGTTCTATCAATGAAAGAAAATTTTTTATCATCACCGATTCAATGAGCGCATTACTTGGAATAAAACAGCGATATACAACTCACGCCATACTTCTCAAGATCAAAGAAGAGCTATCTTATTTACAGACTCAACAAACATATATTTCGTTCATCTGGGTACCTTCCTGTATGGGAATAAGTGGTAGTGAGGAAGTGGACTCTCTAGCAAGCAATGCAACAACCGACCAAAGTATTGGTATCATAAATCAAATGCCTTGGACTGATCACAAAATAAATATCAAAGCCCACATGTACAGAGCGTGGCAAACTACTTGGGATCATACTGTCAACAAACTCAAGGAATGTCTAAGTCAAGTAGGAACCAAACTCATCTTACCAAGTAATATGAAAGACCAAGTCATCATCAACCTACTTCAAATAGGGAATACTTTCCTTACCCACAAGAATATTTTCAACCTGGAGGCTAATCCGATGTGAAGTTTGGTAACCTGGTGGTGTATGACAAAACGGCAAGTATGGTTTTAATTTGTTTTTATAACTTTTTCCAATTAATATTGCTATTAAAAATGGCTGTATCGTCAGCGAAACTTATGATCTGGCCTGAGGTTTTTAGTGTAGGTAATGTGATTACGAGTATATATATATATATATATATATATATATATATATATATATAGTAAATAAAAGCGGCCCCAAC